GAGAGAGAGAGAGAGAATGAGAATTTTCAATATTTATTTTTCAGTTTTTTGCGGACACAACATCTTTGTTTGTATGTGGTGCTGAGGATCCAACCCGGGCAGCACGCGTGCCAGGCGAGCGCGCTACCACTTGAGCCACATCCCCAGCCCAAGTAGTCTATTTTTAAATTTTATTTATCTATTTACTGGTAGTGCTGGAAATTGAACTCAGGGCTCACGCTTGTTAGGCAAGTGCTCTATCCCTAAAAATAGGGTTGTTGTTTTTTTCCTTTTGGCTTTGTTGTTTTATTTTTGGAATATCTGTTTCTTCATTCCTGGTTTCTTTCCACTTATTTTGGGTGTGATGTTGTCGTCCTCTTTCTAGTGTCGTGAGAGTGAGGCTTGAACGACTGACTTTCAGTCTTCTTTTTCTAACATTTGTGCTTCAGGCTACACATTTTCATTTAACCATGGCTTTAGCTGTTTTGATGTCATAATTTTATTATCATTCAGTTAAACAATATTTTCTTATACTATTGAGATTTCTTCACTTAATATAGGTTATTTAGAAGTATATTACTGAATTTCCTAGCCATTTAATTCCACTGTTTTTAGAGAAAGTGTTTAGAATTATCTCAACCTGTGGAGATTTTTCAAGGTTGTGTGTGTGTGTGTGTGTGTGTGTGTGTGTGTGTGTACTGGGGATTGAACCCAGGGTGCTTTACCACTGAGCTACATCCCCAGCCCTTTGTACTTATTATTTTGAGATAGGCCCTCACTAAGTTGCTGAGGAGCATGGTAAGATGCTGAGGTTGGACTCGAATTTATAATCCTATAGCCCCAGCTTCTCTAGTGGTTGGACTTATAGGTGTGTGTCACTGTAACTGGCTGTTGAAGTTCATTTTAGGATCAACCAAAGAGCCAATTTTGGTAGAATCCTTGTGTGATAGTAAAAGCAAATGTGACTCCATTTTGTTTTGTGACTCCATTCTGTAAAACAACCATGCCAAGGAAAAGGGTCATGACTGGGGCAAGATGTTCTTTTCATTTTGCTATAGAAACCTTTAAGAACACGGAACTACCTAATGGGGCGTTGTTTCTGTAAACAGGGGAACGGGGCTCTGTTTCTATAACTGGGGTGACTGGGCTAACTGTGATTGGTTAGGCTTCCCACCACTTGACTGCACTCTCCCGCTTCTGTAACCTGGCTTGCTTGCATTGGCTGAACCCCCAAACATCCCTTTTGCGGTTTTCAGCCTTATAAGGAATGCCCTTGTAATTGTTCGGGGCTTATCAGGGGAACAGCTTTATGTTCTGGTCAGCCGCCACCGGTGTGCTCAATAAAGGCTTGATTCGATTATATGTGAGTGGTCTGGAAGTCAGTTTATGAAATCCCAGGATGAAGCTTTAACTATAACATTTGCATCTTTTTGTTTTGTTGTTATTGTGGTTCTGCATTCGGAAGAAGGCGGCATGCTCTAATTTTAAGGTTCAGAAGAGGAAGTAAAGCATATTACTCCTCTTGTATAGCCAGAGAGCCAGGCCTAATTCAAGGGGCTGCTGGAAGTCAAAGACTCAGACAGACAGGGTCTTCCTCTTTGTAGGATAGTAAGATAGCTACATGTTGTGGCACACAGTCTTCCATCTGAGCAATTTCAGCTGTAAAAATTAAATTAAATTAAATTAAAAAATTGGTTTTTCTTTGCTCCAAATCCCACAAAGAATCAGATTGTCCAGATTTGGATCATGTTCTTATGCTTTACCATCTACTATGGCAGAAAGGGATGGAGTAGCCCTGTTGAACTGGGAGATTGCCTTTTCTGTGCCCATAATGGACTGTGTTCATCTCTCCAGAGTCTCATAAAGTCCGGAGGGGAAAAGATTAATACTATTATCTAGCAAAGGGGATAAGGAACGCTGTCCCCAAATTAAAACTAAAACAAGTATAAACAGTGTTCACTATAAAAGATAGGTGAGAAAAAAAAGAGAACCACTGGATTGAGGGTCCCTGGCGTTGCTAGGGAGACCATGGCTGTGGAGTGGCAGAGAAGCCAACTATTAGAGGAAAGAATGTGGCCTTCGGTGACAAGCAGCAGGTATGGCTTATCTTAGCATGAGGTCCCCCAAAAGGTGATCCTGGACCAAGGACTTAAAAGCAAGGAGATATCTATGGAGGAGCAAGTGGGGTGGTGAGTTAGGGAAAGGAAGGAAGCCAAGAGAAGTGCATTGGACAGCTGTGGACAGCAGGGGCTGAATTCTGTAGATACCTTGAAATACAGTCCAGGAAATGCGCCTCCTGGCAGCATATCCTGCCGGGGTGAGGACGCCAGTGCATTGTCAACCCATTCTTCTCCTGAGGGATGGAAGGATGAGAGGGAATTTAAGCACCCGCACTCTGGGTTGCTGCCTTTGCGCACCGAGCAAGCTCCCCAGGGTCAGCGAAAGTGCACAGATTAGAATGGTTTTGCAAAGTGAGCGAATGTGGGCCGAGCTGGGGGAAGGAGGGTGCTTTTACAGAATGCTCGGTAGATACTGTGAACGCGGGGAGCACAGGAGGTTCTTTCTCTAAAGCAGAATAACAGCTCTGTGAGGCACAAGGCTGGGGTAGGTCATTCACGAGGGAATATGGGCACGTTTGCGGAAAACCTGATAGTCATTGTCCTCTCTGACCCTCAAATGCACCAAAATCGGTTTCCTAAAAGTAGCTTAGACAAGGCGAGGTCCGAAATAGGGAAGGCTCATGGCCCACGCTGGAAGGGCAGGTCAGGAACGGGTCCAGGACTCCCTGAAGCCTGTTAAGGACTGTTTCCACCAGTGGACGCTGGGGTCACCCAGGCCCCTGGGCCGTGCGACTATCGGGAGGTCTCAGAACATGAAAACAGCGCTCTACCCCAACCAAGCAAACAGTACCGCAACGCTCTGGGTGCTCTAGTCGTTGAGCGGAGAGGAAGGGGAGTGCTGCTCACTCGGACACAGGACAGGGCCCAGCAACTTTTTTTCACTCATAAAAGTCCCTGTGAAAGAGGTGGCGCAGCGGGGGAACTCTGCAAGGGGGGTCTTCCGCTGGCACCACCTGGCTGTGGTCTCGGCTCGCTCGGCTCGGTGCACCCCCAGGGCACCCCCACCGGC